ACTGAAAGACAAAATACTGCTACCGTTTCCAGTCTAGAAGGAATATGGATGATGTCGAAGAGTACATATTAAGATTTTTATGCTTCTTAGAAACATTCTCAAAATGAGGCATGCTCTCTCTCTTAAGTATGTATGTCCCTTGTCATTACAGCGGTTATATTACTGAACACTTGTTCAGAGTCTTTGGGTACACAATCTTAAAGAATGTTTATATCTCCACATGATAACTTCTAAATTTTTGATTCAAATGGTATTTATCCTATTGAGTTAAAAAAAAAAAATCCTGTCGGGGCGCCTGGGTGGCGCAGTCGGTTAAGCGTCCGGCTTCAGCCAGGTCACGATCTCGCGGTCCATGAGTTCGAGCCCCGCGTCAGGCTCTGGGCTGATGGCTCAGAGCCTGGAGCCTGTTTCCGATTCTGTGTCTCCCTCTCTCTCTGCCCCTCCTCCGTTCATGCTCTGTTTCTCTCTGTCCCCCCAAAATAAATAAACGTTGAAAAAAAAATCCTGTCTCCAAATATAAACTAGTATTCATCTTTGAAGACTCTTCTGTCCTCATGAGGATTTCTACACAGTATATGCTGTAACAAATTAGACCTCAAATGCATCCTTGATTGACTATACGTCAGCCAGGAGACTATTCTGTCCTCATCACAGTGCCTAACATGTAGTCGCACTCAATAATGAGCATTTATTGAAGGAACAAATGAATGAATGAATGAACTCTGAGTCCCTTACTTTCTTGGAAGAGCTTTGGACAAAAGTGAAATACTCAACATTGTTCATGAATGTAGCATGTTCTCACTAATTTTTTTTTTCTTCTGGATCTGATGTGAGCATTCAGAAGTCTCATTGTGCTTCTGAAACAAATAATGGCTTTCAAAAGAATCTGAGCAGGACTTGGAAACAACTAAGATTAGTAATATGTCATGCTAGTGGAGTATAGCTGTGTATTAGCCAAGCATAGTAATTAAGGGAGTAGACTCTGGACCCCCACTGTTTGGTTTCAGAGCGAGGATCTATCCCTCACTAGCCATGTGACTTTAAGTAGTTACTTCACCTCTCAAGCTTCTCAATTATAAAATAGGAGTACAATAATGCCTCCTCTTAGAGTTGTTTTAAGGATTAAAAGGATTAAATATTTGAAATAACTTTAAACAGCACCAGCAGGCACTCTCTTGGTGTTTGTTTAATAAATCAGTGGTCATTTCAAAACGCAACTTTCTTGGACAGTGATGGCTTGGGGACAGTGATAACCACTATGTAAGTCTGTTGAACTGGATATGGGAATTCCTTCCCAAGGCTACTTGCAAATTTCCATGTGCGGCTCAGATTTACTCACAAATCAATATGTATGGCTTTCATTCTAAAGCTGACTTTGTCAAAAGTGGCAGCTACACAGGTATGTTTCCAAGTTTGTGAAACTCCCAATCTTTACAGGGAAAATTCCCCATATGTATTACTGTTGTCCTTAAGATTCTCCACTCAAGCAATTCAAATATATCTTTTCTGTGGCCAGGGAATTGCACAGATCCCCCTCCGTTTTATGTTTTGGTTTATCCCACAGCTATTATGTGTCTCCTGTCACTCTGGCTGTTTTGGTTTTGTTGTCTATATTCAAAGGAGGCCTGTGGTTGTGTCTATCCCAAGCGTCTGTGTTTCGAGTTGTGGCGGTTTGCCCCCTCTGTCTCTCATCATTGCTTTTGGCTCAGTCCCTTGACAGGAAATGAGAGATTTATTTTATCTGGCTTGAACTACATTGTTCCTTCCTGACTACTGGTGTTACTTCACTCTAAATAACATGACTTTGTGCTCACAGTCTGCCCAAGGTCAAAGCCTGAGGGTAATAGACACATTTAAGAGCAGAGGAAGAAAATACAACCAGAGAGGAGGAGTGGGCAAGGAGAGAATTTAAAAAAATAAAAAAAGAAAGAAAAAAAAAAGTAGTGATGCAAAAGTTAATCTTGCAGCAGGTCTAAGTTTCTGGCGGGTTTGAAATGAAATCTGTTCTGAAGAGCTGAAAGGGGAACTTAGCCCCCGTTCCAGATGTTATCGATTTAAAATGACACTGTGAAGTAATCTAGGCTTGAAATTTAAATTTAGTTTTAAAAGAAAGCATGAGTTGTCTGGGAGAAGGGTTTCCAAAGCTTATTAATACTTGTGATATCATAATTGTAGTGTGTTTTTAATAATTTAAATTGGAATAATTACTGGAATTCAAATATTCCTCTTTGGCTTGACACAAAAACACAGAGGAATTGTGATAGTGCATACAGTTAGTAAAGTCAAACTCATTATTAATAAAAAGAAACTTAATGATACCTAAACTTAAGACTTGAAGCCATGAAAAGGTTTGAAATTTTGTCTTATACAACAAAACAAGAATTACAAGAATATAGCTGAACCCTATCTCCTAACCCATTTATATCTCCTCCATTCTTCTACCCCACTCTCCACCCCCCCACTCCTACCTCACTCCCCACCCTCCCCACCCCCTCCCATGCCCCTGCCTTTGGAGGTGTGAATAAAACTTTCTTAGTTTTTTTCAAATACCTCTAGAGTTTCAAAGGGTCAGCAGGATGACCACCCAAAGACATGGTAAAAGAAAACATCTTGGTTTTACTGTGGTCACACCATTTATGCTGAGCAAAACCTCTCTGGGAAAGTTAAAGATTAGGGAACAGGGAGAAAACTGGCTAATCTAGATATACACTTTTTCTATTTTTTTACCAGATTGTCATGCTCTTTAATACAACTTTTGACTCAGGAAAATGGATTCAATGGAAGTGGCCTTTAAATAAGGCAAAAAGCATTTAGATTACACATAAGGCTGGATTTTGCACACAGAAAATTATTTCACATGGGTATTCCATTCTTGGGGAAGATGATGAAATCCACTTTGCTAATGATTTTTCAACACTTATATCGTTCTGTGTGCTGTAAGCATGGCTTATGTTGAAGTCAGGAGGACATCCCTAATGGCATCTTAAAGACTTTAGATGTTTGTGACTTATAACACTTCCTCTAGGAAGCCCCCACTCATCTCTGTGGAACTAAGTGGACATCACTGTACTGGGTTGGCCAACAGCCCAGTATCAAATTCTTTCTCTATACAAATGCTTCGCTCTGAAACTCCGACTAAAAATTATTCTCAGTGCACCTTAAACTTACACAATGTTATATGTCAAGTATACTTCAGCTAAAACAACAACAACAAAAAAGACATTATTCCTTAGAATCATACTTCCTTGTCATTTCAATTCTTTATGAGATGGTCTACATGTGAAACGAGCCCGTAAATATTAGAACAGGGTAGACACAGCTGCATAAGAATTTCAACACAAGTCTCAATTTGTAACACTAAGTTTTTAAAAGGTAAAGGAAATAATGTTTTTATACATCGTTTTCAATGTTTTCTGATTATTAAATTATAAATATAGTCCTAAAAGGTACACATAAAAATGTGATTATTTTCTCCAAGGTGCTGATAAATCAGACAATTAGGTCTTCACCTGAACACCTAAATCATCCACCAAAAGTTTCTCCTTTAATTCTCCCTACACCTCAGGTACACAGAAGGAAACAACAACAACAACAACAATAACAAAACAACAAAACAAAAACCAGGAAACAATGTGTTAAAAGAAAATAACATTGATTAGAAGTTTACTATTTTCAACACTGCACTATAGCTGATTTCTGATACAGTGTCATATTACATGCATACAAACTCCAGGAAAAATTAGTGTTATAATCCTCATTTCATAGATAATAGGCTAAAATTTAAGATATATTGGAAATATGCCCAAGATCATAGAGTTTACATGCAGCAACATTAGGATTAAAATTTGCATATGTCTACTTTTTTTTTTTTTCAGAGAGAGCAGGGGAGAGGGGCAGAGGGAGAGACAGAGAGAAAAAGAGAGAAACACAGAGAAAGAGACAGAAAGACAGATAGAGAGAATTTTAAGCAGGCTCCATGCTTAGGGCAGAGCCTGATACAGGGCTCAATCCCACAGCCCAGGGAACATGACCTGAGCCAAATATCAAGAGTCAGGTCAGATGCTCAACCAACTGAGCAAAGCAGATGCTCTTATAAGTGTCTAATTCTAAAATCCATATCCATTAATTATTCTGGAATAGCAATTAGAATTCTAGTTTACATAAATTTAGTGTATCTAGAGTCCAATTATGTATCTCACTTATGCAAAATAAGGAGTTGCAAACAAAAACAGTCCTTTCATTCTTCAAAAGGTTAAAAATAGAGTTATCAACTGAGCCAGCAGATTCCATTCTTAGGTATATACCCAGATGAAATATATATATATATATATATATATATATATATATATATATATATAAAACACACACACACACACACACACACAAATTTGTAACCAAATGTTCATAGCCACATTTTCATAAAAGAGTGGAAACAACCACCCTGATATCTATCCACTGATAACTGGATAAATACATTGTGGTATATCCATACAATGAAATATTATTTGGCAATGAAAAGACATAAAGTTTTGACACACAACATGGATGAACCTTGAAAACAAACTAAATGAAAGAAGCCAGTCACAAAAGACCATATATTGGATTATTCCATTTGATTTAAAAGTCCAGAATAGGCAACTGTATGGAGACAGAAAGTAGATTAGTGGTTATCTATGGCTGTGAGGCAAGGGGAAAAATGTTGGCGGAGATATGAGAAATGACTGCTAACGAGTATGGGATTTCTCTCTGAGATGATGAAAATATTCTACAATTGATCATGGTGATGTTTACAAAACTACAAATGTGCTAAAAATAACCCTTTAAATGAAGGGATTATTATTTAAATATATCTTAATAAAACTCTCGCCAGGGGCACCTGGGTAGCTCAGTTGGTTAAGTGTCTCAGGTCATAATCTGGTGGTTCGTGGGTTCGAGTCCCACATCAGGCTCTTTACTGACAGCTCAGAGCCTGGAGCCTGCTTCGAATTCTGTGTCTCCCTCTCTCTGCTCTTCTCCCACTTGTATTCTGTCTCTGTCTCTCTCTCAGATATAAACGTTAAAAAAATTGTTTTAAATAAAACCCTCACTAAAAAAATGGAGTTATGTAACACCTTTGTATCCGTATCATCAGATGAAATAGGCAGCATATTCCCTAGTCAACAAAGTACTAACCAAATCTAGCTACCAAAACAGGAAAGAAGAGTTGTTTGTCTTCTATCATCTTCCCTAAATAGTGGCAAAGCTTTGGTCTTCTGGATCCAGGGGGACTTCTGAATCATTGCTAGAGTTGAAAAGACCTCCCTCTTTGGCCAACTATGCTTTGAGAGGAAAACTTGCTGGAAAACATTAGAACCACACACTGGTAGTTTATTTACCCAATGCTAAACCGCTTGTTTGACATTTCACTCTAAACTGACCAATGATTTGAGTATTGTGTAGACAACCACAGAGAACAACTAAAACAGTGGGAAAGTATTATTTTAGAAGTACTTACTGTTTTATTAACACTTAGAGGGGAGAATTCCCTGCTTCTACTCAGATTCGGTTCTTCATGTTCCAATGTGAAGTAGGTTGCCCAATTGTCAAATTTGTCAATATAGTTTTTAGTCCTGCAGCCCATCATTAGATGACAGAAAAACATCATGTTGTGGCAAAGAATCAGTAGGTAGTAATCAAATGTCCCATGATGTTGACATTTCCCAACCCTCCATAGATTTTTTTTTTAAAGGGAGAATCCTAGAAGTATCAGACTAGCAGGCCTGTGAAGGACCAGCTCTCTGGAGATAATGACACATTTTGTCCTGATAATCTTCAGATGTTAATACCTTAAAAGTTACTCAGTTGAAGTTGCTTTCAAATTAAACACCATTGCTATAGTGTTTCTGTTGTGATTGTCGGAGGGAAGTGGAGCCAGTGCAATTTGTCCATGTTTTACAAATCACCATCTGGCAGGGATATGGCAACATGTGAAATCTTCACAGGACTCTTGTTTTTCTACTATCTGCTGGATAACTAAGGAGATCACCAGACTGCTGGGATGACTGCCAGATGGTAAGCAGGTATGTTTATGAGTTTAAGATTCTTATTTTCTTTCAATGCTTTCACATGCTGTGGGCGCAGAGGCATAAAAGTGAAAGGGAGAAAGAAATGGGAGTGGATTAGTAAGCGACTATATATGATCATTATAAATGCCTTTGACGTGTCTTGAAATGCGAATTTTCAAAAGTCTACATTCAATCATTTTCTGCCATGTAGAAAAATCACGAGTCCTATGGTCACAGGATTTTTAAAAAATGCTACGTTTTTCATTGTTGTACAAATAGGCAGGTGTAAAGTTTCTTCAGTCCTCTTGAGTAGGCATGCATTCCCCAGAGAATCATAAGTGTCATTGACAGACACTAGATGAGTGTATACCCTGGATACGGGACTGAGCTAGCCGTTTTAGCAAAATGAAAATGAGAATCTGTTTTATTTTATTTCGATTGTTCAAATAGACAATCACAGGCAAAGAATACCTACCTAAGCAGAGTCATAACAAAAACTCTTGTAAGAATCGAAGATTCACAGGGTTAAATCTGAGAAGTAAATTGTAATCATCCGAGTGGCTTCCATGAAAAGAAAAGCACATCCTAGGTAATCTTAATAAGTGAATGTCACAAAAAAGGTAATGCTTGGTATAGAGAGGTACAGTTCTTTAACTTAGGTTTGAATGCCTACTCAGGAATATACCAAAATGACTCAGGGCAAGTTTCTGAAATTCTCTAAGATTCAATCAGCTCATCCATAAAAATGGTGATAACAGTTCTACTCTCTATGATGACAGTGAAACTAGAAATATAAGAAATGAAAATTGTCAGCAAATACGTGGTTGCTCAATAAATGAAGCTGTTATCATTATGATTGATATTATCATTAGCACCTAGAGAGGGATCCTTCTAGACTAAATCCTTAGATTATTTTCTTACATGAATTATATATATACACCTAATATATTTGGATATTTAGATACACATAAGATCTATGTTCAGTTGTGTACTTACACGCAAATTTGTACAAATACAAATATACATGCCTACTAGTAGACAATTCTGTCCATTCACAGAAAACAAAAATTGAGTTTTGCCTAAAAACCTCTGTAATCATACTGAACAAATACTAATACAAGTTTCACAGTTTTGAGACTTGATACTTTGGGCAAATTACTGAACCTGTCTGTGTCCTTAGCCAGAGATACAGGTGGAGAGAATAAAGCCTGCTCTCTAGAGTTATATGAAGATTAAGTGTGATTATTTCTACACAAGACATTACACACTGCCTGGCAGAGAATAAATGAATAAATCTTTTTTTTTTTTTCTTTTTGTTTCCTTCTGTTTCCCCTTTAAGTATCAATTTCTTCCACCTCTAAATTTAGTCTATCTTTGCCCTTCCTTACGTCCTTCTCTCAAGTTGAAGGATAGGTGTTCTCTGATTCTTTCTGGTCCTTCCAGTTATATTCTTAATTCCACCACTCTTTTTACCAGAATAATTTTTCTCCTTAATTATATGATTCCTGGGTCTATTTTTATCATAAATTCCTATTCATCCACTAGGTTCCTTCTCCTTAGACTAAAACATACTCATTTCCCTCATCCTAACAATAATTTTCTTTAATAGGTAATATTAAATAATAATAATATATAATAATAATATTTCTTTAATATTACCAAATGACGGAAGATATAGAAAGCTTAAATATGCCAATGGCCATAGAAGAAATTGAAAGGACTATCGAAGATCCATCTCTTAAAAATGCCAGACACAGGTAGTTGGGTTTTTTTTCTTTCTGATTCAAGTAATTTTATATGGGTTCTAACAAAACTAAGTTGAATGAGAATTTTTTTTCCTTATTTAAGCACCCCCAAAACATTAAAATGATTAAAAGACTCACAATTCTTTTGCAAGGTTAGCAAAACCCTGACACCAAGTCACAACCAAAGCCATATATGGTATACACCTTCCCTGACACACAAAATTATAGGCCAAGCTAACTTCAGAATAAGGAAGGAAAATTCTAGCAAGTAGATCTCAGGAGTAAATTAAAGAATAATGGCCCATTACTATACGGTGCTCATGGTGAGGATGAACGCCTGGTTGAAGACAAAAATATCCATTTAAGCAATTTTTTATAGTTAAAATAGTAGACAAAAAGGGAAAAACCACAAGCAAATTGTTAAAAAAAAAACTCTTTGGAAAACAGTGCCAACCATTCCAGATTCCTTTAACGTAACTTAGGAAAAAAGAGAAAAAAAAAACACCTTCAAAGGGAGTTTATTTGTCACAAATAGCTATAAAACACAAAGTGGTAAAGTAGTCATACTATCCTTTGTTGACCCAACTTCTCTTATTTCTCACTTCCTTTTCTTTTTTCACCAACAACTACATTGTCTGTAAGCCAGGCCAAGTTTAGTGCCTCTTCTCACTCATCTCCTGTATCCTTTTCAACCCGCTGCAAATGCTTGACTCCTACCTTTTTAGAGAAGCTGTTTACGCAATGGTTACCAATAGCCACTGAATTTCCAATGTCCACTGGCCTGTTTTCCGTCCTCATGCTCTTTAACCACTCTTTAGCAGGTAAGACTGTCACACACAACCTCCTCAGCTCTTTGCCACCTTCATCTTTCTTGCTTGACTCTCCCCACTTCTTGCTTGGCCTCTCTCAGCCTTTTTCTGCCTCTTCTTCCTCAACCTGCTCTTCAATGTGGAGCACCCCTAGAAGCTTACTGTTTGTGGCCTTTCCTTTGGGCCTGACCCAGAGGATGTAGTTCAAACTTAAAAAGGCATGATAGAAACTATGAATAAAACAAAGTAAACAGAAGACTGCATTAAGCAAAGAATCTATGCATGACTTTCAATTTATTACAGTTTAAATAGAATTTAAGAAACATTGCAACATGAACAATCTCTGCCTCTATCACCTTCAATATGTTTAATATTACCTAGCTAATCAAAACAATAGTTTCCAATGTTAACTAATGTCTTTTCTGCTATTGCCCTTGCTCAGTTTTCTTAAATATGTTACTGACATCTGTAAATAACTTACTAATTTACACACAAAATGTGAAGTTCCTATCTTGATTTTTAACCGTTGTGAAACCTATTTAATGGTAAGGCAGCTAGTGCTGTTAGAATTATTGGGATACATGTGAATGTCATTTAGGAGGATTCAATGATCATTTATTCAATGCTGATGACATGTGAAACATTGTTTATACAGTCATATTTTAATATATAAACTCTAACCAGATGCTACATAAATGAACTGGACTGACTTCCAAATGTAAAGTAACAACTTTAACGTTTTAATCCTATTAATTTTAAGATAGCTTACTTTCCCTAATTTGTAAACAGATACTAAAGTCAAAATATCATAAAGAAAATGATATAGGTGCTTTCAAAATCCTCATTACAGACATTAATCTCTCAGTAAAAACTCTTCAGTAAACTAGATCATCTTCTCCATTCTCTCATCTTCAAATTACTGCCAGTTCACTTCTTCTAGCTGCTACATTCTCCTCCTGTACTCCAGCAAAATTCAGAAACCACTTTTACACAGTACTTGTAAATAAAACTCCTTCCAATCCTTTGTTGCTTCTTTTCTTCCCTCTGATAATTGTATCCCTTAATGTTACACCTTTCAAGTATTTTAGGAAGTCAATGCTACCATACTCTCTCTTATTGGATACATGCTCTTCCCTTAAAGAAAATATAAATAAAATGCTCAAACCCAGACAACATAACATAGGGCATTATTCATTCACAAAGAAATCCTTTACAAAAAATTGCCCACCGAAACCCTCTAAACAGTGATTTTTCTCTAGTGCATGGAAAGGGTAAGTCAATTAGATAACACACATTTACATTCAACTTTTCCAAAATCATATCAGTTTTGCAAAGTGGGGTACAACTTGTTCTCATCAGATTGTTGCACCCCATGCAACATGGAATCAAAAATGAGCCACAGCCAGACTAAAGAACATGATTTCTGTAACTCCAGCTAGGGCATTTACTCTTCTACAGCAGTGGATTTCAAACTTTTTTTTTTTTTTTTAACTGTCACAATATTTCTTCAATAGAAATCTTACAAGGATAAGACTTAGAAAAGGGCTAAAAGTAGTACGGTTATGTTCTTTTCTCCTCCCTTTACTAAATGGCTTTCAGATCATCTACAAAAAAACTACTGCCTTCCTTGGAGGACAGTTTGAAAACAATAATATTGGACTATTTGCTACTTATTGGTAAAGGAAAGGTCTGGCCACCAAAATCATAATCTGACCACAGATAGAGCCCCAACACGCTCAGTTGAGAACATGCCTTGTTCTTTGTTTAAAATGGTACCCAAGCCACGGGTCACACACAATGAATGGTCAGTGATGGTAACAATAATAATTTTTAAAATAATGAATAGATAAATCTCCTTGACACAGGAATGGTTTCCTTTTCCTGTGCCAGTGGTTCTGTCTGTGCCAACTCTAACGCACACCCCTTCCAGGAATGGCATTCAGCCATCCTGGCAACCAGAATTAGAGCAAAGAAAATATGAAATGTCTCTTCAAAACATAAGTGGAAAGATGAATGCAAAGCCAAGCAAAAAGTACCCAGATTCAACATGCACATTGTTAAATGTCACTTCATAGTAAGACACTTTATGAACGTCAAGTGAACAAGGACATGTATAAATTGGGAGACTGAGAATAGGTATGACCTATTAAAAAAGCATCAGCAAGTAAAGAAAGTCCAGAAGAACATACACATTTCCAATTAGAACCGTTACTTTTGAGGAGTGAGGGGAGTGGCAACTGGGTAAAAGGAGAGCAAGAATAGGAAAAATTTTTTGTTGTGCACATTTTTATACTTTCTGAATTCTGAACCGTATAATGATATTCAAAAAGCAATTCAATAAATTGAAATTTTCAAAAAATGAACGTAAAAAGAGAATTCCAGTAGACCATTCTGAAATGTCATGTCAGCATAACAATGAACTTCTTTGGTTTGGGGGGAAAAAATCAGCAATACAATGTTT